GAAATAAATGATGCGTCGAATAGACTGCGCATCCCCTGACTTACAAGTCAAACATCGGCCACCAATCAGAGGCCAAATGGTGTAGCCTACATGTTCAGTCGCAAGATGTTTTATAGCGCATTTCACAATCACTGTAGAATTCGTCCTCAACTCAACTGAACATTAATCACTACGACATCTGATATACGCATTCTATCACCTGATACTTTGACAGTCTCTAGCATGGTAACATTTCGTACTTTCTTTTAGCGCATGATGTGAATAATTATGAAGCCGTAAGATTGCTGACAATTTCATTTTCCATTTGGACTTAGCAGACCGTGACCAAGCTACAAATCTGCTTTTTCTGGTATCTTCATCTGAAAAAAAATGGGCTTAAATTTCTTCAGTCGTCCGTGGGCTTTCGGCTTGTGCTTTGCCCTTTTCACCTGCTTCCAAGTGACCGTGGGGCTGTACATTGCAGGCGTCCTCACCACCTTGGAGAAGCAGTACCGGATAACCACCTCGGTAGCTGGATTGGTGCTCTCCACCAGTGACTTCGCCAGTCTCGTCTCGATCCCTTTGGTGTCGTATGTCGGCGACACATGGCACAGGCCACGCATCGTCGGCGTGCTAGGGGTAATGACGGCAGTCGGTGGGTTCCTGAGCGGGGTCCCGCACTTCTTATACCCGGCTTACAGAGAGGGAGACACCCTGCCAAGTGGCAACAGCACAGGGTAAGCAGCATATCTATTGCATATATACCGTGTGTAGTACAACATTTCTTCTGTTGCAAACATATGGTTAAAGACACGTGCTTGTACTTTCTCATTACGTGTACGTCCAGGTGACCAGTTAGGTGTCAAATACCGGTATGTGTACTTCTCATTACGGTAAGTTGTGCGATTCCAAACCATCTTTAATATACTAATACTATTTTCTCTCTCTTTTGGATCCAGTTCCAGCGTATTTGTTTGTGACGCGACGAGAGAGGATGAAACATGTTCTGCTGACGACATCAGTCAATCTGGCTCCAGGATTCATGAGATGTGGGCTTTATTGCTAGGTCAAGCTCTCATGGGCCTGGCCTACGGACCACTGTTTCCGACTGCTCTGACCTATATTGATGATCAAGTTAGAGGGACAACCACACCCTATTACATCGGTGAGTCCCGATATAGATGACGTATGTCAAATTTACCACTGACTTAGGAAAGTGGAGACACAACAAGAATAAACAGCAGCTTCTCGGGGAAATAAACCAGTTTCCTGTTCTTTCCCATTTCTCTCAGCTGGTATCTTT